TTGCTATGACATAATAAATGTGAGGGGGGAGGATGTGATTCTTATTCTGTAAGCCCGACTCCCCCCGTAGGGGGCTCAGTGGAGACTGGGTGCACAGTAGGTGCTCAGAAATAGGAACCAACTAGACCAGTGGGCAGAGCACCTCCCTCCACGCCCCCCCCCCAGGCTGGCCCTGTTTTGAGTGTTCACAATAATAGTATTACTATAATTACTGTTAAAGCCATCATCACTGTCAACATTAAGGAATGGGTTAGTGGGCGCATCTCTGAGGAAAACTCCATATTCTTATACCCTGAGTCCAAGCCCCAACCCCTGAGGTGTGGGACAGGAGGCCCTGGCAGCCCCTGGGCAGTTTCATGGGCCTTGAGAGTCCATATTATTTCTTCTCTTTTTAAAATTGTTTTTTAGAGAGGGTCTTACTCTAGGCTGGAGTACAGTAGCATGATCATAGCTCACTGTAACCTAGAGCTCCTGGCCTCAAGCAATCCTCCCTCTTCAGCCTCCTGAGTAGCTGGGAGTATAGGCATGTGCCACCACACCTGGCTAATTTTTTTTCACAGAGACAGAGTCTTGCTATGTTGCCCAGGCTGGTCTCAAACTCCTGGCCTCAAGTGAGCCTCCCACCTTGGCCTCCCAAAGTGTTGGGATTACAGGCGTGAGCCACCGCACCTGGCCTATATCTCAATTTTTTTTTTTTTTTTTGAGACAGAGTCTCGCTTTGTTGCCCAGGTTACAGTGAGTGCCATGGCGTCAGCCTAGCTCACAGCAATCTCAAACTCCTGGGCTCAAGCGATCCTCCTGCCTCAGCCTCCCGAGTAGCTGGGACTACAGGCATGTGCCACCATGCCCGGCTAATTTTTTATATATATATTTTAGTTGGCCAATTAATTTCTTTCCATTTATAGTAGAGACGGGGTCTTGCTCTTGCTCAGGCTGGTTTCGAACTCCAGAACTTGAGCAATCCGCCCACCTCGGCCTCCCAGAGTGCTAGGACTATAGGCATGAGCCACCACGCCTGGCCTATATCTCAATTTTAAAAAAGAAAAAGCATGCCATGGGATATTGTCGTAAAAAAATAAATAAATAAATAAATAAATAAATAAAAAATAAAAAAGAAAAAGCAGCTCTGGGCTGCAATGCTGGTTCTAGCCATGTGACATTAAGCAAGTTTCTTAGCCTGCTGGTGCCTCCTTTCTCACCTCTGTAAAGTGGGGACAATCTCTCCCCTTGGAAGTTGCTGGGAGGATTTAATGTGTTAGCAAACGTGGAGCACATGGCACAGTGCCCAGCCCAGGGCAGTTCCCAATAACGGCCGAGGCTATTGCAGGGAAGCATCGGGATGACGTCCGCCTTGGCCCCGGCCAGGCCCCAGCTGCGGGTGGGGACAGGAAGAGAACCCTTCCCGGGCTGGTCACTGTACAGCAGCATGTCAGACATAAAAGACCTGGCCTGGCTGTGTGACTTGGGGCAAGTCACTTGCCTTCCCTGAGCAAACGGAGGTTTGTTCCCTCGTCTGCACAGTGCGGGTGATAATGGTCCCCTCCCCATTATCCAGTTGGGAGAAGTGGACAAAAACCCAAATGTACAAATGCCAAGTGACACAGCGACGCCTATGCTGAACACAGCTGTGGTCACGACTGTGCACTCAGAGGGGAAGAAAAGCTTGCTGCTGCAGGCTGGCCGGCCTGGGGAGCCCCGCCCTCGCCCCCTCTGCTCCCTGCCTTCTGCGGGCGGGGCACAGCTCCAGACGCTGGCGCAGCTGCTCCAGCCCGCTGGGGGCGGGAGCACCACAGGGCTGTGGCCTAGGGGGCCGGAGTAGGGATGACCCACCGCAGATGCTCCAGAGGCGGGACTGCAAGGCAGGGACACAGAGCGGCAGAATGACCCAACTCAGGCCAGGCCGGGAACGCCCACCACACACTTACCTGGAACCTCAGCTTCCAGCCTCCTAAACCCACTAGATAATGGAACCCTTGGTGACCTCCACGGGCGGCCCTTTGGAAGACATTACTTCGGTTCCCCTGAGCTCTGGCCTCCCACCCCCGCCCCTCACCCAGTAACCCCCCACCTGCCTGGGTACCAAGCAGACGCTGGTCTTAGAGGATGTTGCTGGCATCCAAGTCGGGTCCTTGAGCAGCAGTGTCTGCCCCGAGGGGCAGGGCTGGCAGTATCCTTGGTCTCCACCTCCAGGCTGCCACTGAAGCTGCTGTCCTTTGCACCTAGAGTCAGGGTGGTGTCCCAGGGAGTGGAGGGGCTGTCGCCTACACACCTCGTGCAGCCTCTGCAATGCCTGGCAGAGCCAGGCACATGAGGACTGAGGAATGAACCACCACACGGGACTGGGTCCCTTGTCCAGATGTGGTGTTTGGACTTGAAGGGCTCAGGGCCACTCAGTGGAACTGAAAGTCCCCCAACAGGGTCCTGGTTCTGCCTGCCAGCACTCAGTGGTTTTGGAACCTTGGAAAAGGTCTCCCGAGCCTCAGTTTCCTTTTCTGTAAACCAAGTAGAATAATAGTCCCAACTTCCTGAGGCCAATATGGGGACACCACGGAGACATGTGAGCATAGCCTGGTGCTATCATGATCATCCATCCCCAGCCAATACCCACTTTCCCGAGCCACCTGGGCAGCACCACCCAGGTGCTAGAGGCGGGTCCAGGGATGCAGGTGTGATGCTGAGCTGCTCTCGAGGGTGTGGCTTGAAGCTCGGTGACAAGGCCCCACCAAGGTTAGGACCCAAAGGTGCTGAGGTCCCTGGCCCGCTCTGTGCCTCCCCAGGGTGGGGCATCGCTGCAGGCAGTTGCCTCTTTTCCACCCTCCCACCCCCAGCTCTCCCAACCCCCTTGATCCAGCCTCTGGGCAGGGGCAGCCCTCAATGCAGCCATCTGGCCACAGCCAGCCGCTCCTGCACCCTGCCCAGAACCCTGCCTGGCTCTCCAAGCCGGTCCCTGCTGACCTCTACAACCTCTCCCCTGCTCCCCGCTCCTTCCCTGAGTGCCAGCCGAGGGGCCTCCCTGTTGAATTGCTCATGTCGTTCACACCCTTCTGCCTTTGCCCCTATGAAACTTGCTAATGCCTGCCAGTTCCTCTAGGCTTGCCTCAGCTGCATCTCCTCCAGGAAACTTGCTTTTCTGAGATGGGGTCTTGCCATGTTGCCCAGGCTGGAGTGCAGTGGCTATGCACAGGCACAATCACAGCTCACTGCAGCCCCGAACTCCTGCGCTCAAGGGATCCTGGCCGGGCGTGGTGGCTCACGCCTGTAATCCTAACACTTTGGGAGGCCGAGGCGGGCGGATTGCTCAAGGTCAGGAGTTCGAAACCAGCTTGAGTGAGACCCTGTCTCTACCAAAAATAGAAATAAATTAATTGACCAACTAAAAATATATATAGAAAAAATTAGCCGGGCATGGTGGCGCATGCGTGTAGTCCCAGCTACTCAGGAGGCTGAGGCAGTAGGATCGCTGAGCCCCGGAGATTGAGGTTGCTGTGAGCCAGGCTGACGCCACGGCACTCACTCTAGCCTGGGCAACAAAGTGAGACTCTGTCTCAAAAAAAAAAAAAAAAAAAAGGGATCCTCCCACCTCAGCCTCTGGCATAACTGGGAATACAGACGTGCGCCATTGTGCCTGGCTCCTCCAGGGAAGTATTGCTGCCCCCTCCTTGAACTCCCCCATCACTCTGAGCATTGATCCACCTGGAACGGCCCTTCCCACCCCCGCAGTGACTTCAGGTTTGCGGTATGAATCACAACCACCATTTACTGAGGGTTAGTACCTGCCAGGCACTGAGTTGTGTCTTTACAAACATTACCTCCTTTCATTTCCACAACCACTCTACAAAGTAGGGACCATTACTCTCCCTGTATTACAGGGAGGAAACAGGCTCAGGGCAGGAAGGGACTCACCCTAGGCCACACGGCAGGCAAGAGGCAGAACCTGGCTGCCTGGTTCCAAAGCCTGCATGCTTAGCTGTCATTCAGTACAGCCTCTGCCTATTCAGGGCTCCTCGAGGATACAGATGACATCTTCCCTTCCCTCGCACGAGAAGTGTTTGCTGACTGAATCCATGATCAAGTATGCAGAAGAAGGTACACCCCGCCAGGGCACAGACTGTGTTGTTTCATTGCTATGGCTTGCCAATGTCCCCCAAGAGCCAGCCCAGCGGGTGCCCATGAGACATCTACTTAATGGATCAAAGAATGGTTTGGGGCCAGGTGTGGTGGCTCACACCTGTAATCCTAGCACTCTGGGAGGCCAAGGCGGGAGGATTGCTCAAGGTCAGGAGTTCGAAACCAGCCTGAGCAACAGCGAGACCCCCATCTCTACTAAAAATAGAAAGAAATTAACTGGCCAACTAAAAATATATAGAAAAATTAGCCAGGCATGGTGGCACATGGCTGTAGTCCCAGCTACTTGGGAGGCTGAGGCAGAAAGATTGCTTGAACCCAGGAGCTAGAGGTTGCTGTGAGCTAGGCTGATGCCACAGCACTCTAGCCTGGGCAACAAAGTGAGACTCTGTCTCAGAAAAAAATAAAAATAAAAAATAAAATAAGAAATAAAGAATAAACAAAATAAGAAAAACAAAGAATGGCTTGGGGGCTCAGTGATGAGGAGGGACTTGTGGGTGGGACATCCAGATGGACAGGTAAACCTGAAATTCTGCCCAGAGACCAAGACTAAGGATGAGGAAAGTAACAGGTGGATCCAGGAGAGGGGATGAGACACACGTGGGTGGCAGTGGTGACAGGGCTGGGTGGGGGCAGGAGAACGAGAGAGTACCACAGCCCCCGACCCACCAGGCACACGTTCTAAGACCTTCAGTGGATGCCTGAAACCACAGGCGGTGCTGAACCCTGTATATGCTGTTTTCTCCTGTACACATACACAACACAATAAAGTTTAATTTATAAATTAGGGACAGTAAGAGATCAACAACAGCATAGAACTATTAATATAATAATGTACTGTTTCACAATTTCACAGATAGAAGATTCATTCTTACCATGGATCGCAGCAACCTCAGCATATGATTTCTCTCTCCTTATTAAGTTGAAAACTTTCACTTTTTCATTCAAAGAAAGCATGTTAGGGCTTCCCTTTGGCATATCCGAATTACTAGCTTCAGTACCTTTGCACTCTGGGGCCATTATTAAGTAACGGTTACTCGAACATGAGCACTATGATGCTAGAACAGTCAGTCTGATAGCTGACACGGCTACTAAGTGACTCGTGGGTGGGCAGTGTAGACAATGTGGATCCTCTGGGCAAAGGGAGGATGCATGTCCCCAGTGGGATGGAACTGGATGGCTTGAGATTTCATCACACCACTCACGACGGGGTGTGATTTAATAATAGGTGCTCGGCAAACCCTTTGGTGACGGGGTTAGTAAGGGATAGAGCAACTGAACCTGCATCTGTCAGGCTGTTTTCAAAGCCTGGCTGTTAACAGGCATCTGGAGCTGTGTGTGCCTGTCCCTCCCATGTCACTGTGTGCTCCCATCTTAGTGGCTGGAAGCTCAGGGTCTGGTGCTGTGAGGGGCTAAGTGAATAAAGACCAGTGGGCTCAGAGTGCAGCTCGGGGGAGGTGGACTGGTGGCACCCACCTCCTGTGTCCGCACCAACCCCCTGGCCCCAGCTGCAGCCACCTGTATGACCTGGGCTGGGAGGGAGGTGAGGTGTGTGGTGGCAGAAGGGTCCAGTGGGGCTGCACAGAGTTGCCATCTCGGGGAAGCCACTGTAGTAGTAGCAGCAGCGCCAGTGGGTTCCTCGACCATCTTCTCCCGGGAACGGTGCTCCCTGTCTCACACGGGCCACGACAGCACAACATCCTGAGCACTGGAGAGAGAGGGGGCTCTACAGCCACCAAGCAGGGCGTAGGGGACACAGACCTACCTGGGATTGAGATGGAGGAAAGGGAGAGCCTCACCTGAGAACAGCCGGGAGGAAGGAGGGTTGAACGAGGAACCGCTGGTCGCTGCGTTTCCCCACACGCTGGTCAGCCGGCAGATTCCTCCACCTTTCTGCATCTTGAAGATCTGTTGCAATTGTTCTGTGTTGTTTTTCATTTTCTGCTTTTAAATTTCTAGTTTCTTCTGCCAACTTGGCTGACTGATGCTGCTGCAGCAGCTCAGAGGGAGCCCTTGGTAAGTAATTGGTACCATCTAGCGAGCAAGGCAGACAGGGGCGTGGCGAGAGCGTGGCCCTGAACCCAGACTCCGCCACTGACCAGCCCTGTGGCCTCGGACCAGTCACACTTCACCTCCCTGTGCCTCTGTCCTCACTGGAGGACACTACACGGGCCTACTAGGCAGGGTTATGGGAGGGTTAACTGAGACAATCTGAGTGCTTGGAACAGTGCCTGGCACATAGTAAGTTTGATGGAAGCTCCCCATTGTAGCCGTCATGTCATGATCATTATTCGTATCTACTGGGCTCTGCTGGGGTGACACTGGGACTGTGACCACCTGTGGATGGTAAGTAAAATCCTAACTCTTTACCGTGCTGGACCTGGTTCTAGTCCCCTCCACCCACATCTTAGATGACTGCCGGTGGCTCGCTTCCCTCTAGCCACGCTGGCCTGCCCGCTGCAGAGGCACCAGGCCAGGCTCACGGGGACCCTGCCTCCCTGGCTCCTCTGCCGCTGGCCTCCACACCTTCAAGGCCAAAGGAGGGAGCCCTTTACTGGAGCTCTGGCTACATCCCTCTCTTGCTCACAACTGTGTCACAGCTCCCAGGAACCCCAGACAAGGTGCAAAGTCCCCTCTGTGGCTTCACAGTCTCTCCAAACACAGCCCTGTCCCCCATCCAGCCTCATCCCTCTGCCATCCCTCCTGGAGCCAACCCCACCCCACTGAAGATGGTCTGCCCTCCACACTGAACTGCTGCTAGCTGCCCCACACACCCCACCAAGTAGAGACAGCCTCTGCCACTTTGAAGTCCTATGACATAGGTCCATGACTCTTACTTCTCCATGCCTTAGTTTCCCCATCTGTAAAGTGGAGGTAATAACAGAACCTACCCGGTGAAGCTGCAAGTAAGGCTTCCCGACGTGCAAAGGACCCAACATGGTGCGGGCGCTCAGCATACCTGAGCCACCTCCATCACCCCGGGGTGGTGTCCACCTCTCAAGGTTCTGAAGGAGAACAACGAGAATTGGCACCAGGAGCACTGGGTCTCCCCACGTGCAGGATGTGGAGAGGCTGGCCACAGGGGAGGGGCAGGTAGGCAGGCTCCTACCTGAAGTCCAGGTTCTCGTGCACGTGCCTGATGTGGAGTCCGCAGGACCAGGGGTCTAGGTGGGCCTCGGCCACGTGCAGGATGGGCAGTGGGGGTGCTGCCCCCCACAGCCAGGCGAGCAGCCATCCAGCTTGCACAGACACGTGAGCAACTGTGTGACGTGGCCTGGATGTATGCTGACAAGGGAAGAGCTGGCGTCGGGGCCTGATGCCCACGGGAGAGGCAGGACCCACTGAGCCCGGGAGGATGCGGCCCCCACCTTAGCTCACACAGCGCTCTGGACAGTTTGCCCACGCAGTCCGGCCACACCGCAGACTGGAACGTGCCTGAGGAGCAATAACATTAACATGATTTACTGCCACGGAGAGATGTTTCCCCACGTTTTTGAGTTTTTAAAAAAAGAAAAAGGTAAATTCCAAAACAGAATGTGCTACAACCTGGATGAATCTTGAGGGCGTTATGCTAAGTGATAAAACTCAGACACAAAAGGACAAATGTTATGATTCCTTTCCTATGGAATGTCCAGAGCAAATAAATCCATAAGACAGAAAGGGACTGCCAGGGGGTGGGGGAGGAGGGGAGCAGGGAGTGACCACTAACGGGTGCAGGGTTTCCTTTGGGGTGATGTGTACATTTCAGAACTAGATAGAGGTGATGGTTCCAAAACGTTGTCAATGTCCTGAATGCCACTAAAGGGTGCCCTTTACAATGAATACTGTTATGATATGTGAATTTTACTTCAATTTTTAAAAATTAATAAACAAAAGCCCAGAATATACAGTGTAATTCCAGTTCTAAAAGACATAGACATACACAGAAAAAAGACACAAATGTTAGGAGAGGTGGTATCATGGATAACTTTTATATTCTTTTTTGCTTATATACATTTCCTAAATTTTCCACAGTGAACATGTACTTGTTCTTTTCATTTTTTTTTTTTTTTTTTTTTTGAGACAGTCTCACTCTGTTGCCCTGGCTACAGTGCCGTGGCATCAGACTAGCTCATAGCAACCTCAAACTCCTGGGCTCAAGCGATCCTTCTGTCTCAGCCTCCTGAGTAGCTGGGACTATAGGCATGAGCCCCCATGCCTGGCTAATTTTTTCTATTTTTGGTAGAGACGGGGTCTTGCTCTTGCTCAGGCTGGTCTCGAACTCCTGACCTTGAGCAATCCACTCGCCTCGGCCTCCCAGAGTGCTAGGATTACAGGTGTGAGCCACTGCGCCTGGCCAAACATGTACTTTTTCATAATGAAGGGGAAAAGCCAACAACTATTTTGTGAGGTTTTTTTTTTTTCTTTGAGACAGGGTCTCACTCTGTCACCCAGGCTGGAGTGCAGTGGCACAATCATAGCTCACTGCAACCTTGAACTCCTGGGCTCAAACGATCCTCCCGCCGCAGCCTCCCATGTAGCTTGGACTATATAGGTGCAAGCCGCCACACCCGACTCATTTTTAAATTTTTTTGTAGAGATGGGGTCTCGCTGTGTTGCCCAGGCTGGTCTTGAACTCCTAGGCTCAAGCGATCCTCCTACCTTGGTGTCTGAAAGTGTTGGGATTACAGGCGTGAGCCACCTTGCAAGGTTTATAGAGCATAAACTGTGTGCCCAGCTCCATACAAATAAAAGCAACGTCTGATAGTGGGACAGCCCTTGACAGTCACAAAAGTCCTTCAGATCAGTCACAAAAGACCTTGAGAAAACCATCAGGAGGCCAATGGGACAGGTTGAGTGTCCCCATTTTGTAGATGAGCCAATTAAGGTTCCAACAGGCCAGGCCAGGCACAATGGCTCACGCCTATAATCCCAATACTTTTGGAGGCTGAAGTGGGAGGATCGCTTGAGCCCAGGAGTTGGAGGTTACACTGAGCTATGATCACACCACTGTACTCTAGCCTAGATGACAGAACCAGACTTCATCTGAAAAGAAAAAAAAAAACAAATCTGCTGTGTGCATGCATGCAGTGCTTGGCACAGGGCTCACATGAGAGACCTGCTCAGTAGAGGGTGGCCATCAAACTGGGGATGTCACCCTACGGCAGCTAGCAACGTCCCGTCCCCGGCAGCTGAGCTCCGTACAGCCTGCCTGACTGCACTGATAATACCCACAGCCACCGTGACAAAAGCTGGCCAGGTCTTGTGCTAGGCACCCTCCCCATGGTCTCCATACCAGGTGTGCAAGGATCCAGGTCCCTAGGGTGCCTCTGCCCCTACTCCTCACCCACTCTCCTCATCCTGCCTCTTGGAGGGCTTCCCTGAGCCTGCAGCACCAGCCCCGTCGCAGGCACTGCAGCTGGAGTCCTCCCCAAGTGCTGCACTAGGCTTTGTCCCCGTAACCTTCTCCAGCTCCCAGCAGCCGCTGTAGGCCTTCCCCTGGCAGGAACTGCAGAGACTCAGCCTGGTGGCTTGGGCAGAACTCCCTCGCCCTCCTTCCAGCTCTGCAGGATGCGGCTCCTCCCCGCGGCCAGGGCAGGATGCCCAGGGCCAGGCGACTGCGGCATTCAAGTCCTCATCCCTCAAGGCCACCCTGAGGGGCTGGGCCCCCTACTCACCTCCCGTGTCCCTTCCCCTCTTGACCTCGCTTTCCCCAACTGAAAAACAAGGGGCTTGGATATGAATCTTTCCTAAGATTCCGACGAGTCACAGTTTGCTCACACACACAATACACAATTATGCACAAAACTTGACCAGGCACTTTCCCCACCAGATCTGTCATGAATCTGTCTATTTCCACAGATTTTGTCATGAATCTCCATTTCCACATTTCAGGAGCTACCATTATTTGCAAAAAGCAAGTTGTAAAACAGAATGTAGTGTAACCTTTTAACAACATGATATTAACATCTACTGCAAATGCACAGAAAAATCTAGAAGACTCTATATAAATAGTTCCAGAGCTTACCTCTAGATGGTCAGGTTTCAAGGGCTTTAACTACATACCTCAGATGTTTTTATAACTATTTTTTTTTTTTAGTATGTGTGTGTTGCTCTTAGGAATTATTCCCCTCATCTAAATATAATCCTATAGTATTATCACCAACTATCTCAAATTCTCCAAACCACCGATCCTTTTATTGAGCAAATGGAGTTGCCCAGTGACCCCGGATGGCAACAAGGACCCAGGCTTCTGTGGATTAACAGGATTGATTAATACGATTAGGACTGTGACCTGACACTCACCACCGGGTTCCTCTAGGCAAGGTAACTAACCTCTCCAGACTTCTGTCTACCCCCCAAAATGGGGTTACTTTCTATCCCTCAAAGAGTTTCTTACTTTGGCAACAAGAAAACAAAAAATTAGTTCTTTTTTTTTTTTTTTTTTGAGACAGAGTCTCACTTTGTTGCCCAGGCTAGAGTGAGTGCCGTGGCATCAGCCTAGCTCACAACAACCTCAAACTCCTGGGCTCAAGCGATCCTGCTGCCTCAGCCTCCCAAGTAGCTGGGACTACAGGCATGCGCCACCATGCCCGGCTAATTATTTTTTTCTATATATATATTAGTTGGACAATTAATTTCTTTCTATTTATAGTAGAGACAGGGTCTCGCTCTTGCTCAGGCTGATCTCGAACTCCTGACCTCGAGCAATCCTTCCGCCTCTGCCTCCCAGAGTGCTAGGATTACAGGCGTGAGCCACTGCACCTGGCCAATTCTTTTTTTTACAGAAAAGACTCGACCCAAGTGCCCATCAATTCATGAGTGGATTAATAAAATGTGGTATATGTATACCATGGAGTACTATTCAGCTATAAGAAACAATGGTGATATAGCACATCTTGTATTTTCTTGGATAGAGCTGGAACCCATACTACTAAGTGAAGTATCCCACGAATGGAAAAACAAGCACCACATATACTCACCAGCAAATTGGTATTGACTGAGCAGCACCTAAGTGGACACATACAACTACATTAATTGGGTATTGGGTGGGGGGAAGGGGGAGGGGCGGGTATACACATACATAATGAGTGAGACGTGCTGTCTAGGGGATGGTCATGCTTGAGGCTCAGACTTCTGGGGGGAGGGGGGGCAAGGGCATTATTTGAAACCTTAAAATTTGTACCCCCATAATATGCTGAAATAAAAAAGCAAAGACTTGAGGCTCGCAAGGACCCCGCTAGTCCCCAGTGGAGGTTGGCGGCTCTTGAAACTGCACCCACGTTCCCAGGTCAACATCTTCCCAACTGGTGGGTCTCAAGGTGGATCCTCAAAGGTCCCCCCAGGGCTGCAAACCCAGAGGACAAATGTGGCTGACAGAATCCAGCCTGGACTCCATGTCTGGCACCAGTTCAGCAATGGGGATATAAAAATCCCAGACATCACCTCATCGCTGTCTCATCAAAAAAGGAGACTTTCTTCCTGCACATCTCTGCAGAGGACAGAGCCCTGCTCGTGTGTTACCGGAGAGGGAGCAGGGAGGGCAGTGGAGGGAATGCAGAGGTTCTCTATTCCGTAGGGGTCAGAGGGCAGTTCGGGTCATCACAGCAGCCCTAGGACTGGCCTCTTAGTAACCATGACAACCCTGGTTCCCAGGCGCTGTGTGGGCATCTGCTAAGCAGACCCCGCCATGCCGTCCCACAGCCCCGCAAGGGTGCGATAGCATCCCCTTCTAACAAGACCTGGCTCTGGGAGCTGAGGGCCTTGTCCAAAGTCGCTGGGCGACAGTCAGGACTTGCCCCAGTCTCACTAACTCCAGAGCCGGTGCTCTCAGCTCCCTGGGGACCAGGAGGCCTGTGGTCTAAGCACACCTCTCCTCAAACTCCGTGTGTGACCCTGGGCACCCAGGTGCTTCTGTGTCCCTCTCAGGATGTTTGGGGGAAAACTCCAGGCTCCCGAACGCCCTCCTCCACGGTAGTCTGCCACAGGACCACACGCTGGGCTTTTCCGGAAGAGTTGGTCTGAACACAGGCCCTGACTGCCTCAGAAAGAAAACGAAAACAAACCATCCCCCTCCAAAAGCTACAAGAAGATGGTTCCCACTGGCCCAGATAGCCCTGCCGGCCCCCCTGGCCCCACCTGCTCAGTCCACCCGGCTGAGGGTCCGCATGGCTTCTCTTCCTCTGATCCCTGTCCTTTTGGTCCCCTCACATCTTGCCAAGTGCTGATCAGAACATGGGCGACGCCTAGGGGCTTCTCAGGACCTCTCGGCAGGGCTCCCCAAGCCCAAGGCCCAAATACAGCTAGGCAGAGATGGCTTCACAAACACCCCACCGCCACCCATCTACTGTCAAGAGGGTAGCCGAGAGGGAGCCAAAGCCTTTGGGGTTTCAGGAGAAGCTATGAACCCAGATTTTTATACTGGATTGCCCAGTCATTTAATGCTGACAACTATA